CCCCAAAACCCCAAAACCCCAAAACCCCGAGAACCAAAATAACGAATTCAAATATAATTATTTAGGAAAAATAATTTAAAAATAGAAAGAATTAAATGAAAAGCCTTAGTAAATATCTGATCGCAACGACTGTTTTAGTATTGATGCAGCTCTTCTCTGTGAGTGGTATCAAACTTAAGTCACTAATTTCTCCCAATCACCCTTAAACCATCAATGCAGTGCAAACCAAGACAGGTGCTGCTGCCTAGGTTTAATCTCTCTTTAACGAGATAAAATTCCTTGCTCAGACCTCCCCAGACGAAGCCGAAGCATATAGGCAAATAGCTGAGAGACTAATGAAGTTATCAGATTAACTCGATGTATTGTAAAGCTGCATGGCAGATGTTGAAACTGGAAAGTATAAACCAACTGAGAGTGTAGTTTCAGTCTCAAAAAAAGAGGAACCAGTTGAGGATGAAGATGAAGACGACGATGAATATGAAGATGATGAAGATGATGATGATGAAGATGAGGATGAAGACGACGACGATGAAGATGACGACGATGAAGACGACGACGATGAGGACGACGATGATGATGATGATGAAGACGAGGATGAAGAGGAAGAAACAGTCGTATAGGAACCAAAGACTGATACTACGACTGAAACTTCACCTGCAATCACCGAAGAAGCAGCAGAAAAATTAGTTGAAAAGGTTGAAGAAGTAAAGCCATCAGATATTAAAGAAGCAGTTGCTGATATCAATACTTAACAAGTAGAGCAGATTGTTTAGAATATTGTTAATACAGAGGAAGGAAAATCACTAACTGAAGATGAACTTGCAGAGAAAGTACAGTAAGAACTAGCTAAGGATGTACTTACCACTGTTATTGATTAAACTCCAACAGCTTAAGAAGAAAAGAAAGATGAGGCTGCTGCTGTAGTTGCAAAGATTGAAGATGTTAGCTCTTCAGATATCAAGTCAGCTGTCACTGATATTGTTTAACAGAAAGTGGAAGAAGTCGTTTAAAACATTGTTAATTCAGATGAGGGCAAGTAATTAACAGAGGAAGAATTAGCAGCAAAAGTAAAAGAAGCATTGTCTAGTGAAGTTATTAATCAAGTTATTGATTAAGCTGTAACTTCTCAAGAGACAACTGCTACGACTGAAGGCACTACTGAGACAACAACAACTTAATCTGAAACTACATCTCCCACTTAAGCTGGGGAAAATCAGGCAGAGACCACAACAGAGCCTACCACTGAGTCAACAAATACTGCTCCCACCACTGAAGAAACAACTACTGCTGCACCCACAACAGAAGAAACAACTTCTGAATCAACTACTGAAGAATCAACTTCTGAGTCAACTACTGCCGCATCAACCTCCGAAGAAACAAATTCTGAATCAACTACTGAAGAATCTACTTCTGCTGCACCAACTACTGAAGAAACTACTAATCAGTCAACCACTGAAGAGTCAACTTCTGCTGCATCATCTTCTGAGGGAGCTACTACAGAGTCAACAACTGAAGAATCAAGTTCTGTTACACCAACTACTGAAGAAACTACTAATGAGTCAACCGCTGCTTCATCAAATGAAGAAACTTAGGAGGGAGAATCAACATCTACAGAGTCTTCTTCATCTGATGGTTCAGAGACTGAGACAGGCTGAAAATTCATAAGGAAAAAAATATGATGATAAAAATTAAAGATAATTTAACTTCACCACTTATTTTTATTTTACTTTCACTACCTTAGATTACCTCATTTACCATTCACTTTTTCAACCAGCATTTATTCCTATAATAATTCAAATATCTACATAAATCACAAGATTATTATTAATCGCTTGTAACATCTGCTTTAATTTAGAAAATTTTTTATATCATGGGGTTTTGGGGTTTTGGGGTTTTGGGGTTTTGGGG